CCACTAATGTCAAGCACTGGGTATTAGTGTCGGAAACAGATTTTTTTGCATTCATACCTCGATTCTAGAGATTTTGACTATTAAGAAGCTTAATTTCGTCAGGAACTGTCACCTAACTCTTCACTCTGTCTCTCAGATTCTATCCACTGGTACCGTCTCTCGTTATAGTTACCTACTGTCAGTTGAATGTGTAAGAAGGTATACTGTTTTTCTCATATGTGCAGCTACTTTTCATATAGTAGATGTGAAAAAATGGAAGCGACTGTTGATCTTTCTTCGATAAAGCGAGAACAGCTGTTCTCTTCTTTTACTGCTACAAACTAACTTAGTAGAATTGTGTAAACAGAGAAGTAACTGCAGCGTCTATAAAAAGATCAGAGAGTGAAAATGCACCCCATAAGAGAGAAGAAAAAAATCAGCAAATACAAGAGAAGAGGACAAATTCATAACGGGAAGGAGAAAGAAAATTCTAAGCAAACAAAATAACACAAATTCAACAAATAAACAAGAGTGCAAAACCCATAAGGGGAAGCGGAAAGGGAAAGTTCATTATCCTTTGAAGGTGAAAAATTAAACTGCTAAGAGGCAACGAAAGTGTGTCGTTCTCCAGTTCCATATCGAACTTTTTCTGTGCTAATCAGAGTAGCTGAGGATGTGGGTGTCTCTAAAGTATCACCCGCACCCACGATAGATTATTATTGTCCTTTGCGGACGGCATCGTTCACTCTCCTTCATCATCTATATAAATGCTGCTTTATGAGCATTTTCTGTCAACTATAGATAGATATCATGTAGTTCCTTCTTTTATTTTTTAAATAGTTGCACAATATGATTCTTCATATATAACTACAGAATATATATAATATAATGTTAGTTAAACGACACGACATGTGTATTATCGTAATATTTCATCAATAAATAGATTGATAAAGAAATAGAATGAAAAAATAGGTCTTGATGTGCCACACATCATGAATGTACATAATGTTTTTATGGATACGAGATTCATACTAGAAGAAATAAATAGATAATGTTAGTCGAGCAAATATATTTGTTTGTTTAACTCAATTATAATTTATAGTATTGCTATCTATTATTTGTGTCGATATAAATTGTTGACGATTAGATACTTGTTGTGCTTGTAAAATCATCGCTGTTTTCGAATTTATATTTAATAGATCATTTATTGATTGAAATTGTAAAGTAAATAATGGTGTCATATATGTATGATGACGTTGATATCAATTATATGTTAATGAAAGTTCTTGAATTGTATATTTATCAAATAGCTTTTAGAATATAAAATGATTATAATTAGGACTATGTGTTGTTGTACGTTTAAGAAGAAAATTCATTGAATATAATTGATCGATTAAAGCAATAAGATGATATACTTGAATGTTTTGGATCACACTAGAAATTCTAATAATAATTTACGTTTATAATGATAAAATTTTTCAGATATTGGTGATGTGAATGATGTGTGACTGGAGGTTATCACTGTTCAGACGCTTTGAAAAACATATTCTAATTTTCAAAGCTGTGCCTAATTTGAAAAAAACTGATGTCCAGTATCGTTTTCGTTATGTATTAATCGTTAAACACATATTGGAAACTTATAAATTTTACGTTGTCAACATACAGATTAAACTAAACAAAACAAAACGGAGTACGACTTTTTTAGTCGCAACCATTACTTTTCAATCATATATATAATTGACCTTTATTCAGATATCCATTCTTCTATTTGAAACTTTTAAAATAATAATAAAATATTATTTTCTTTTCTTTTTTTTTTATTAAAAATAGGAAAAAAAACGAATCGCATAAGTGCATGTCTACAAGACAAAAAATGCATATATATGATTCTTGAAAAAATAAAGAAAAGAATTCTCTATAGTCTTTTATTTATTTAATGAAAATGCAGTCGATTGATATTATCGATGAAATACGATATTTTGAAAGACTTTATACTAAAAAAAAAAATCAAAATTAAAGAATAATATATATATTTATTTATAAACTGAATTCATTTACTGTTTTTCATGCAGTAGTTAATCCACGAGGATGCGAAAATGAAACAGAAGTAACTGCACATTTTTCAGGTGCATTAATAGTAAATGTACGTCTAATACCCATGACTTTATCCGAATCAATAAATAATGAATTATTTTTAATTGCTAAATCTTGTTCTAATGTTGATTTTGTACGTAATAAATGTTGAACAGCATTTTCTTCTTGTCGTAATTTACCATGAAGATCAGCAATAGCTGCATGGCAATCATGAACTTCTTGAATTAATCTAAAAGAAAAAGATTGTTTTGTTATTGTAAAGAATATTTTTTCTATATACCTATGCATAGCAGGATCTCTGCATGCTTCAACATTTGGTCGTCTAGTACGTGTTTCAAGACGTGTTTGAGCAACTTGTAAAAATGCTTCTTTATCAGCAATAGTTTTCTTTACAAATTCAATATTTTGTTCAACATCAAAGATTTCTTGAAGAATCTATATAAAAGAATTAATGATGACTAGAATATGATTTAATTTCTTTTTTTTTTATCAAAATCAACCTTTTCAAGATGAGCTTGAATTTTATTTTTAGCAACTTGTTCTTCTTGTACACGATTCTCAAGTGATACATTAACATGATTCCATTGATTCCACATATCATTGTTAGTTTGTGCCATAAGTTGATTACTATTATTAAGTAATTCATCCGATTGAGTAATTTCACTAAGACTTCGACGAATATTTTCCTCAGTATATCGTGCCCATGTCTCAGGTGATGATACTCTATAAATTTATAATACATAGAAGAATATAAGAAGATAGATAAATAAATACTTACGTATTATCAACATTTTCAATACCATGATAAAAGTTAATTCCACGTGATGTTGTTTTAATATTATGAGCAGCTGAATCAATGACTCGAGCACGGAATTTATCATTTGCATCAACTTCTAATTCATGTAATGCAGCACGATTAAGACTAAAATATGAGATAATATTGATTTGATTTTTTTCTTAAACTAATTTCTTACGCATTTTGTGTATTGAGACGTTCAAGCATTTGTCGAAGATGTTGTTGACATGTTTTAATCGTATCCACTTCCTAGAAAAAAATAACTCACGTTCTTTTAATTCAATCTATAAATATTTTAATATAACTTACTCGAATAAGTTCTTGTTCAACACCATCATGTACAAGATCAATACCTAAAAGAATATTTTTTATGAAATAATAAATAATTTTAATTCGTTCATACCTTGTCGTTTTTCTCGTGAATATAGATTTTCTTGTGCAATACGTAATGGTTTCTCTGTTTCAGATAATAATCTTTCAACTTCACGTCTTTTTGCTTCGACATCATCAATTTTACGTTTTAATTTATCTTTCGTTTTTTCTAATTCACCTTTCCAATATTCAATATTATTTATACGTTCACCTAAACGTTTTGATGATTCAGCATTATTTTTAAATGTTTGCTCATCTTTTTCACGTGCTAAACGTACTGCATCTGAACGTAAACGTTCAGCAGCAGAACGAATTTTATCAGAAGCTGTATAATTAGTCATTTGAGCATTAAACCAATCTTTTGGTGTATAACGTGTATAAAGTGCTAAACGTGCTGATGGAAATATAGGTGGAACTTTAGCACTATCAATATTATTAAGATAATTTGATGAACTAAATGGATCTGTAATAGATGATTGTAATGGTTGTGTTGGTTCGACACGAGCTGATCGATAATATGTTGATGGACGCCATGGAAGATTCACTGATCGAGTTAATAAACCAGAGTAAGGTGGTGCTTGTGATGTTTGATAATCAAATGTACCTATTGATGGTAAATGACTACCTGTATGAGGACGACGACCCATATGAGTATATGGAGCCGTTGATGTAGATCCCATATAATTCATTTTTAATATCAAAATCAATTAAACGACTAAAAAGAAATGCAAATTATTATTATTATTATTATTATTTCTTTCAAATAATATTAGAAGTCTTATATATTTTATTGATGTATTTAACTTTTAAATACCTGCGTCTGTCTTGATTGCTATATGTATTTATTTGATGCACATACACAGTTGAGTGAAGGTAACAAAAAGAAAATTTCTCTTCTTCTCAAATTCTTTTTTTTTTTTTGATTGTTGTCGTGTGTTACCTGTGAACGTGTATAAATTTGCGTCGTCAACTGACTTTTTATCGATGTCCGACGACGATGGCGCTGCTACCATAAGTGATTTTGTTGTTGTTAATTTTCGTTGTCAAAAGAAACGCTTTTTTTTATACACTACCTTCGTTTTTTTTCAATAAAAAAATATAAAAGATTAAAAATCTATTACTCTTTTTTATAAAGAATCAATTCGAATAATTTGTTTAAGGAGTTTTTATTCTTCCTTTTTTTTCTCAATTCGAACAAAGTTGATATTAATTGATCTATAACATGTTATCCTTGAATACAGATTGTTATCAAATAACTTTATTGATCTTCAATGAAAAGAATCAAAAGATAGTTTGTTTCCTATATGCAAAATCATCTTCGTCAAATGTTTTCCAATATGAAGAGAGAATCACTTAAGCTTGATTGCATTCATTTCCGAGTCATGCGAAGCACTTCAAAATTCATCTACAATTGCTCTTCAATTGACACTCTGTTTGTACAATACAAAAGTAAATCTTTCCGTCTTAACAATATTTATATATATATATATAGAATTTTTTTCTTTTTTTTTTTGTCCTTCCATAAAACACCTTTAAATCACAATCATGTACATGTTACACAAAAAAAGAAAGAGAAAAGTGTGAACGAAAGAAGAAGAGAAAAAAACGAGTAACATTTAGGACTCGCTAAAAATAAGAAGAATTTTTAACTAGACAAACTAAATATGCCTGATCATACAGAAAAAAAAAGTTAAATAAGTAAATGACACAATAAAGGAAATGAAAAGATACACACAAACACACATAGACACACTCTCAATCACCGGCGTTGTTTTTCGTTCGCCGCTGCTGTTACATCTCGAAACCAACTAGCAACATCGACTGGTTCTTCACGTGATTGAATAAAGAATGGTTGAAGCATTAGCTCAACATATTTAGGTCTTTGTTTATAATTTTTTATTAAACTTAAATAAAAAAAATAAGAAATAATAATTAGAAAAGATGTTTTCTTACCACATATTGACAAAAGATCGGAAATGATCAGAGAACGAAAGATGAGCAGGTAATTGAGGAGCTTCTTCTGTTACAATACGTGACATAACATCGAAATCAGATCGACAATTTGAATATGGATAAGCATTTGTTGCAAGTTCAATCTAAATATTTATAATTAACTTAGCATTTATTTATAGAAAGATATTTTCAAAGAAAAAGAAGGATATAGAATTACAGGAAATAGCCTTGACAAATTCAATAGAGATGAATATGGAAAGGAAAACATTAAGAATAATCTTCCGATATATATATATTATATTTTTGAACAAATTGATTTGTTTTCAGTAATTGGATCATATTCATAACTTACAAGTGTAATTCCTAAACTCCATATATCAGCTCTTATATCATAATCAGGTCGTGATGGATCTGATGGTTCAATACGTTCTGGTGACATATATGCTGCACAACCAGCATTTCTTGACTTCGCCATTGATTCAATAAGTACACCACTTATACCAAAATCACAAAGTTTAATTGTTCCATATTCATCAATTAGAATGTTCGATGGTTTAACATCTAAATATAATATTGATTATTTTCTAACAAAAAAACAATATGACAATCTGAACAAACCTCGATGAATAATACCATGTGTATCTTTCAAATAATTAAGTGCAGTTACTGTCTATATAAAAATAAAAGAATTAGAAAAATTCAGTTTTTTTCTTAGAAATTGATTAACTTACAGAAAATGTTAATCTGCCTAAAATTTTTTCAGGCATAGGTTGTTGAATAAGTTTAAGGAGTTTATCAAAACATGATGCCATTAATTCCATACATATCCAAACATCTGACTAAATAATAATAATAATTTAGTAAAATAGATTTATAGTTTAAAAATATTAACATACGGAATTAATAAAATATCCAACACATTTAACAATATATGGAAAATTATAACTTTTTATAATCACATCTAAATCCATAATAATTCGTTTATTTTCTTCATCAGATGCAGTTCGATGCATAATTTTAACAGCAAGTTCAGTTTTACTTGGTAAATGTTGCATTTTATATACTTGACCACATGAACCATAACCAAGAATGGATAGATTTAAAAGCTCTTTGAGTTCAACACGTTTTTGCTTAAGAAATAAAAACAAAGATTTCGTTTTTTTTTTAAATATTAAAATTAATTTTTTTTACCTCTCCGTCAATATGTAATAACCCCGAATTTTTGAGCACCTCTTGATATTTAGCTTGTGTATATTCACTATAGAAATCGATTATTTAATTTTAATTTAAATTAATTCTGATTTTTCTCTACCTGGTATTATTCGGAGTTGGTTGAAGTGGCGAAAGTGGTAATTGAAAAACAGGTTTACGTGTTGGTGGAGCTGAACTTGCACGCGATAATGAAGGACTATTTAAACTAGCTAGATATCCAGGAGAAGAAGAAAAAAAAAGAATCATAAGATTTAAAATAAAAATAAAAAAAGATTTCTTTTTTGCTAACTTGGTAATTGTCGCATTTGTGAATTAATATTTCGACTTGTTGGTCGATTTATTGTCGGTGATGGTGTTGCTGTTGCAGCTGTTGTTGTTGTCGTCGTCCCAGATTCAAATGGTCCAATTTGACGTAGAATTTTTTCTTCAAGTGCTTTCAAACGGGATGACATAGCTGGAATGCCTAAATAACCACCATCAGCTGATGATGTCGGTGGTGGAGGAGGTGGCATTTGCATCTTCTTTTTCACTCAATCACACTTTATCAATCTCATGCCAATATGTGACACAATATGAAAGAATAAAGAAATAACCAATCAAGTATTAGAATTCATAGAATTGAATAGCAATGATTGTAGCGCAAAACAATAGAATATAGAGGGAAAATACATTTTTTTTATTCGTTTGATTTACACGTATACTAATCGTACTTCGTAATATATTAATTTTCTTGGCATCAAAAATGAAAATTATTTGAATATTTTCTTTGAAATGAATAAATACGCTCTTGGCATCCTTCGTTTTCTTATTCCATATGTTTTCTTTTGACTTGGAAACGTTAAAACAAAATCGAGGTCATTTTTATTAAGGTGATCTATCAAATTACATCTATAGGTGAATATCGAGTTGCCAAATGAAACATGATTGAGAACAAATGAATACGCTTTTATTAAGATTTACTGAAGAAAATATTATCATAGTAACACATTTTCATGAATACGAAGATATATCATTTGAATAGAAAATGTAGAATCGAATATGGGTTATTATTACTTTCGTATTTCAATGCATTCTTTCTTTCGATGAAGACGAATATATACTTTTGCTCTTGCTAAGTACATCGAAGAGCAATGTCGACTATTTCATTTTTAATAACACGTATATCATTCATTATTTCGTTATTTTTTTTGAAAGAACAAAATCTATTCATACAAACATTTAATTGATAAAAGAATGTATAGCCTAGTTATATTTGTTTTGAATAATCTTATTGACGTTTCAATAGTATTAATAAAAAGAAGAAGAATGATTTTATCGTAGATATTAGTACGTCAAAAGAATATTTATTTTGTAAGTTATATTAACTAAAAAAGTAGCCAATACAAAAAGGATTGCGCAAATAGATAGATATTTATTCGTGCTAACCTAATAACATATTTAACATTCTATCATCCCATCTATCTATTTATTTTATAACGTAATAGTCTATATATTCTTTACTTTTCTTTTTCTTTTTTTGTATTTTTAAGTATATTCTTAAATTTATTCTACTATGTCTCTCAATTGTGTTGTGATTGAACCCTCTGCCTTATTAGTAAGCTATTTTTAAGAGTTATTTCTCTTATAAGTATACTTATGTTCAAAGGAATTTCGCTCAAAACGTGTTCGACATGATAGTTATCATCGAATAAGTAAGTTAAGATGATCTATTTATGTAAGATTATTTTTTTTTCAATCTAATTATATAGATTCTGATGAAATCTATCAGTCATTTTTTAAAACACATACATGTTATGATTGTATGCCTAAGAGCGGCAAAGTTCTATTACTTGATGCTCGTCTATCAATTCGAAAAGCTTTCTTTGCACTTGTGTTCAATAGTGTACGAGCTGCACTCGTATGGCACTCTTCAACATCTTTAAATATTGGTCTTATTACAATAAGTGATTTTATTAATATGCTGATTGCAGCATATGATGAAAAATGGGTAAAACATTTAGTTATCTTTTATAAATTTAAACATCTTTAGACTTATTAGAAAACGATTAATCATTCAGAATATGACCTAGATTATACTTTCCATGAATTTTCAATTTTTGTTAATTTATGAGTGATAGTTATAACTATTTAGCGTTATCTTATGATATAGACAAAAAAAAAGAACGTAGATTTTACTTACGTGCCAAAGTAGTTATTGTTTAGTAAAAAGAATAATATACTATATAGACTATGATCTCATTCCTTAATAAGTATGTTTAATGATGTACATATATATTCTATAAAAGATAAGCTTATTATTTTTCTTGTATTTTCAGAATAGTGTTGAGACGCTTGAAAGCTCATCAATACTTGAATGGAAACAAGATTTACTTAAAAAAAGCGGTATTAACAATGAATCTAATAATCCAGAAATAATTCAACTTGGTCCGGAAGATAGGTTAATAGACTTTCTTCAATTATTTCTTATGTCCAAAAAAAACCAAAAAAACAAATTTTTCTTTAGTTTATATACAGCTATTTCACGATTAATTAAATATAAAATACATCGTATACCTGTGATTGATCCATTAACACATAATTTTCTATTTTTGATTACGCATAAACGAATTTTAAAATTCTTATATTTATACGTATGTTAATGAAATTTTATTGTATATTTATTTATTTATTTATTTCGATATGAATTAGATCTATGATTTACCTCAACCTAATTTTATTCATCAAACATTAGAAGAACTTAAAATTGGTACTTATGATAATTTAATTGTGGTATGTTAAACTAAATATGAAAGGAGAGATAGTCGTGGGCGTCTATCATTTCATCGGTTAACTGTGAATTAGATTGACTGTCAGTTGTTAGTGATATTTCTATTTTTGGAGGGTGTTAGCGTAAAAGAATAATTTGTTTGATTAATTCGTTATTTGATATTTTTAATAATAAATAGAGAAAATAAAGTTTATGACAGTGTCAGAGAGTAAAAATCTGTTAGTATTATTAAAAACTTATGATTATTATTTTTATTCAAAAGAAGAAAATAATTATGCTTTTGAAAAATATTTTTTTCCTTCTATGCACGGAAAGTACTTGTTCTAATTACAATCGGAGATAAATAGAAGGCAGTTTTTTTCGGTTAGATATTTATTTTTCTAGAATGAATAGAAGAAAATAGTGCAATTAAAATTTTTTCTATGACGTCAGTTTCAACGATTAAATAAATCTAATCAATCAAGTTTAATAAGAAAATAATTATTCTCTTAAATTAAATATGATTAAAATATTTTATTCATTTCTTTTGACGTCAAAAACACTACATGTCATTAAAAATATGAATACTATCTCTTCTTTTTTTAATCAAGTATTGAAATTGCTTATTGAATAGATTATTTATGAAAGCCATTTTTCTGTACTATATTTATTTTAATTATTGATTCATTATAATGTCATAGAATATATTTATAAAGCAAGAGCGCATACGAAGTCAGACAATTAATAAAAACAAATGAGAAGATTAAGTTTTTTTTGTATAAGTTGATTGATAATATATTTAAAATTCTATAATGATGTAATTTATTATTATTCTTTAATATAACCACATAGAATATTCTTTTAGATTGATTTACAAACAAAATTAATAGAAGTTCTTCGTACATTTCAATCTTTACGTATATCAGCATTACCAGTTGTTGATAGTGAAAAAAGATTACGTGATGTTTATTCAAAATTTGATATAATGGTAAAGAAATTTTTTCTGTTTTTTTAATCAAAATAATTTATTATGTTTTCTTTTACTAGCATTTAGCAGCAACACATACTTATACGAATCTTGATGTTCCACTATGTGATATATTAGATTTGATACATGATCATAATACTCATCAATTAGTAACTTGTAAAATGACAGATCAATTATTTGAATTAATGGATAAATTCGTTACTCGAGAGGTGAATAGATATATTGTTATTCTTATTAGTCGTTTGAGGATACAAAAAAGAAAAAGAAAAAAAAGAGTTCCGTCTACTATTTTTCTTTTTATAATAATAATAGAATGACGCATTGAATAAAAATAGAATATTTTATGAAATATGATTCATATATTTTTCTTTTTAGGTGCATCGTTTGATTATCGTTGATGATAATCAACATATTGTAGGTATTTTTTCTATGTCTGATCTCATGAGATTTCTTGTGTCAACATTCGAAAGTAAGATCGTAGTTTTTTTTTTTCAATGAATATTCATATAATAATATGATTATATTATATAGACTTCAGTCGTACTAATTCCAATACATCAACTAGCAATTCGATTGGACCAGTTTTTGAAGGAGAACCAATGGATACTTGACATTGTAAATATTTTTATAATAGCAAGAACAGTTTGTTTTTCTTTTTTGTTCATTTTATTTAATTGTTGTTAAGTTTTTTGTTTTTGTTCTATATTATGTTGGTTCTGTTGTTGTTATTTTTCTTTGAATTTAGAACAGATAGATGATAATGATGACTGAATTTCTTCTTCTTCTTTTTTTTTGTCGATTCCCTTTCGTCGCCTACAAACATCCTTCCTCTCTTGTTTTCATATCATATAACAAGACCATAGATAGATAGCTAGCGACAAATGATGACATGTTGTTCGCGTAGGCAATTCCCGTTTGTTCGTTTCTCTCTTGGGAATCACTCACTCTTACATTCAGTAATGTCACCACTTTTTTTTCCTTTTCCTCGTTTTTACTCGCTGTCTATTAGCATCTATTCTTTTTCCTCTTAGAATTCTTTTTTTATGAGTCTACACACACGATGACAAACTAAGAGAAAAAAAACGAGGATAGAAAGAAAAAAAAAGAAAAAGAAGCTTGATGATGACATATCTTTCTCTTGTCGATCGTATTCGTTTATGTAGAATTGCAGTCGGTCAGTGGTTAAAACGACTGCATGACAGTTAGAGTCAATTTTCCCTATGTTTCTTTTTTTTGCTTCTTCTTCTTCTTCTTTTTCTTTTTTCTTCTTATGATGTCAATCTTCAACGAACAATCATCATGATAATCAGTACAACCGAGTGGAACGAGATAGATTAGAACAAAACAAGTTTTTTTTTCTTATTTTTCTTTTCTTCGATCGTTCTATTGTAGAAAAAATCGTGACAGTGAGAGCACGACGTCGTTCCATCAGTCGTCGCGTGCTGGTGGCGTTACAGAAAAAACAACAACAACAATGGGTGACTCAATGATAACCTCATCAATTGAATATGACTATTTAATCAAATTTCTTGCATTAGGAGATTCTGGTGTTGGTAAGAAACATATGTTCCTTTTTTTTATAAAAGGAAACTATAAAATTGTTTTTTTATTCTATTATTTAGGTAAAACAACATTTCTTTATCAATATACAGATGGACAATTTAATCCGAAATTTATTTCAACGGTTGGAATAGATTTTCGTGAAAAACGTGTCGTTTACCGACCGAAAACTCCACCTAATGCCAAACCATATCGAATTCATCTACAACTATGGGATACGGTAAAATAAATATTCTTTATTTTATTTGTCAATTTTATTTACTTGTTTTTCTTTTTTCTTAGGCAGGACAAGAACGGTAATAGCAAATAAATTCTTTTCCTTTCTATCAGAAAAAAAACGCCATTTCTGTTTTTTTGTTTGTCTAGTTTTCGAAGTCTAACAACGGCATTTTTCCGTGATGCTATGGGTTTTGTTTTAATGTTTGATTTAACATCTGAACAATCGTTTCTTAATGTACGCAATTGGCTTGCTCAATTGCAATGTCATGCTTATTGTGAAGATCCAGATGTGATACTTGTCGGCAATAAAGCTGACCGTGAAGAAGCACGTGTTATCTCCCAAACACGAGCTAAAGAATTAGCCGATAAATATGCTTTACCATATATTGAAACAAGTGCATTTACAGCACAAAATGTTAAAGAAAGTATTGAAATGCTATTAGAAAGAGTTATGTTAAGAATGGAAAAAACGATTGGTAAGTCAAATAAATGATTGACATTTTTTTATATTAACATATTATATAACAAAATTTTTATCTAATGGATTTCACTTCGATAAGACAAGGACAGATTTAGAGTAAAGAAAGAATCAATTGAAAATTGAAACAATTTGTACTGATTCCATTTGCAACCGGAATAAACTATTGGATTAATTCTTTGAGTTTTTTGCTTATACATTTAGTATTAATTTCAAAATGCGTCTTAAATGTTGAATCAGTTAACTTTTTAAATATTTTAGTATACAATACGATTATTCTAGCATATAGCTCTTTACTAGTAGATTCAATGAAACATTTCAAGTTTAATATAATGTTTACTCTCTTAATTAACTATTTTTGTTATTTTGTATAGATAAATCGATATTTCCTGTACGACAACCACCTCCGGCACCATCAACTCAAGAAGAGGCAGCTTGTGCCTGTTAAATTCGTTATTGTAGTTAAATGTTGTTATTTTCATGACCTTTGTTTCGTTTTAGTCTGCCTTCGACAGTGAAATTATTGTATACTGTGAAGCAATACGAGTCTCATTACGTATTTTTTTTTCTCTGATAATATTGTTCGTATTTCCATTTTTCTTCTTTGTTTCTCTCATTTTTTTTTCTGTACAGCTTTACAGTCGTATATTTATCTTAATTATCAATTTTGAATTTTGTGTGTATACGTCTATTTGTTATTGTCAAAGCATCTACCTTACAATTTTATTTTATCTCATTTAAGTGTACTATGAATACGTATCGACACATAATGTATTTCTTTGAAATGACCAATAGTTTGTTTTTATCTCTTGTTTCCTTCGAAATATTTCAAGTTGCAATATATAAAAATCGAGAATAATGTGTTAATCAAATAAATATGGATAATAATATTATTGTCATCTAGAAAACATATTTATTTTTAAAACTGAATTTTTATAAAGAATGCACATGTTCACTTCTCGAGAGAACTATATCAAAAAATGTCAATTGAATAAGTTGTTGTTTACGAAACATCATCAAAAAAATAAATCATATGAATTCATTGAACTGCCTAAACTTGGACACATACAAAAATAGCTTGTTTTTTTTCAATTTGCATCTTGATCGTAATTTATATGAAGAAGATGATAGTGCAAAAAAATAGATAATATATTTTTTCATCAATCACATAAATATAATGTGAATATATACAAATTAATGGGTACGAATGAATACACTTGACATTTTGTAATTTTTACCGGGAAGTAGAATCTAACAGTTGTAATAGGTTTATTAGACAGCCTTTTAGAATGCTATAGAACGGGTGATAGATAAAACTCATTCAACTGAGAAGTAAATTTATGATATACATATTCGAAAGCATTGTATTGACTACTATGAGAACATCTGACAAAAACAATCAAGAGAAACAAATACGATGGCAGTAAAAGGCAGAATGATTTAGTAGAAGAAAATGGTATGCACCATTCATTGATTAGAGAAAAAAAAGGAACTGTTTTCCTCGTTAAAATATGCCGTAAGCTACTCGTGACTGATATTGTCACAAATAGTATATAGAAAAGATGAGTAAAGTCGTGCTATCAATACATGGTAGACTGAATACTATTCTCTTATTAATAACAATAATTTAATGATCGCTAGATTCTACCTTGAATTACTAATTTCTATATAAAACATAATATTGATTTGCTTGAAAAATTTTCATCTATATTTTATTATAATATTTTGACATTTCCTTACGCTATGTTATCCTTTAATCGATGAAAAAAGAATGCAAGAATTTAAACTATTACTACATGATCTCTTTGGAAATTCAAATCACTATGCAATTATAATTTAGGAACAAGTTTGAATCTTAATTAACCGGAAATTAATGTGATATAGCATAATTTGATTAAATATTATCGACATCGTTCTTAAAATATCTACATAAACGAGCATATATTAGAATCACTCTGAAGTCAAAAAATGATTTACTAATGATCTAAATCTCTTTGTTTTTATAAAAAACCCGAATAGCTTATGTTTTTTTATCGCTTGATGTAATATGTAGTGAATGCTTTTCCTAATATAAAATGACATTTAACTTGGTACTTTATTGTATTCGTTTTCGCTTGACATTTTTTGTTTATGCTTGAAACGTAGAAAGAAAATGAGTTTATTACGCTCTCATAAGTTTAATGTCAAAAAAATAGAGATTCCTATTTTTTTTTTAATGACTCTTATTCTGTCAATAACCATACTAGAAAAGTTCATTTCTTTTACTTGTTATTATGTCTATGCAATCATCATTGTCCAGTTTAATAGCTATAATGAATTCAGTTATATATTATTTGTATGAAATTGGTGGTCCAGTTTTAATGGTTATTGGTACTGTTGGTTGTACGATCAATCTAATTGTTTTTTCACAAAAATCTCTTCGAAAAAATCCATGTTCAATCTATTTTATTGCATTTAATATTGCAAATTTTTTCTATATATACTCGTCATTATTAGCTTTAATACTTAGTGCAGGATATAATGTTAATCCAAGTGTATACAATTTAATTATTTGTCGTTTACGTTTATATGCATCACTATTATTTGATTGTTTAAGTGCATTTTATTTAATTTTAGCTTCTATTGATCGAGTTTTTATTACTTCTCGGAATGTTCGTTATGCTTATAAAGTTGTTATTATTGGAACATTATTTTGGATTGTGTTTCATAGTCATGTATTGATTTTCTCGGATATTATACAAATTCATTATAATTATTTTCTTTGTTATTATCAGCTGGGTGATTATCTTAGTTTCATAGGTTATTATTCAATTATAAAAGAAATTACAACACTTTTATTATTGACAATATATGGATTATGGTCGATGGCAAACATTCGAAATACATGTTGTAGTGTTGTACTCGCAAATCCAAAATCTAATTCGCCAAAGGATCGACAATTTAGCTTTATGTTATTTATAAATGTTATTATTCATGGTTTATTTAGTCTCGTATTTGCGATCTTTCTTATATACCAACAAATAACACAAAATCAAGTGAAAAGTATTGAACAACAACAGATTGAAGTTATTATTAGAAATCTATGTCTATTTAATACTAATATTTCAGTTTGTATCAGTTGTTATACAAATTTACTTGTATCAAAAAAATTTCGAAATGAAGCGAAAAAAATTCGTTTATGTAAATGATGTACAAAAATCTTATCATAAGAAATTGATTATAAAGTACAAATGTTCTTGTCTTTATTAAAGCGAAGTCCTTTTGGACATGATTTTCGTTCCAATTGATAAACTATTTGTTAAAGAAGAAAGAAATAATAAATAACACTTGAAAAATTCTTCATATCAACTTACATCCATTTACTTGTGTACATTCAAAATATTTGCCTTGATCATTTAAAAAACTATCAATAAATTTACCATTGGAAGTACACTGAAAGTATTCTATAACAAAAAAATATATTATATCAAAGAAAATTTCTCATTCTAATATACGATTTTGACATTTGAGACCATTGTAACCAGGTTGACAATCGCAATATGCATGACGTGTCAATCCAATAATATTTTCTTTACAAGGAGAATTATTCAAACAGAAATTAGGCATACAAAATCCTAATGTTCCTAAATTTTTTTTTTGATTTGAAAATAAGCAAACAAATTGTTCTCATTAAGTTTTAAATTCCTTACCATTTAATTGGCAATAATCACCCGAAATACCATATCGACAAAGACAAACCGATTCATAAGGTCCATTTGGATTTCGAATAGCGCAAACTCCTCGATTTTTACAAATAATCTTTTCACATAATTTCTCATCTTATCAAAAAGAAACAGATAAAGAAAATATAAACAATAGAATATTCATTTACCATATTTTTGTTCACAAGATATTCCACCATAACCACTTGGACAATGGCAAATACCATCTACAAGATACCCTCCATTCGAACATGTCAGTGGTGTTATTGAAGTACTCGTTGTTGTTGTTGTAACTGTTGAATCTAATAACATAAGAAAAATAAACATATTTTAATCATAACTTATTCATATTCACCACAATTATTTGATGTTGTTGCTACAGGTCCAGATGGAGTTGAACATAAACATGCAAATGTTTTACCATAATCATTTGTTTCAAGACAAGCAATGAAAGCTGAAGAAATATGACATGGATTATTTGCTGGATTTACTCGATTACAAACACCTAGAAATACAATCATGAACTAACTATTTCTATAATTATAATTCTATTTCATACGGCATGGTTGATTCATTTCGTAACCACCATGTGGACATGTACATAATACATCTGTATTCATTTGTATACATTGATATCCTTTCTCTTGTATAAAATAACCACCTAAATCACAAGGATTATCATTGCAATCTAAAAAATAATCGATACATATCAATCAAATTTCTATTGATTACATTACTTAATGCTTGAACAGGAAAATAAAATATCGTTGTAAAAATAAAAAAATTTATTATTGATTTCATACTTATTTAAAATATGAATACGAATTTTTTTCTCACATCTCGATATATATACCAATGAAAAGTTAATTGAAAAAGATATATATATATATTTGTTACGTAAGGTTAAAACACTATTGAAATGATATTTTGTTTTGATCATAAATATTTAATAGATATAAGATATTTTCTATGTCCTTGTTTGAAAGTTAATTTTAGATTAAATATAAATATTTTATTTTTTGTTTATGATATATATAAAAAAATTTGTCTTCGAATAATTCTAATTAAATCTCTTGTATGATTCCTAGGAGATTTCTATTTGACACACGATGATTTTGTCATTGATAAAAATTACGATGATTTTTTTTATGTCCTAACATGATATTCTATCATGAAAAGAAACAAAAAAAATATTAATTGATAAATGTCTGACCTTGATTGATCAAAGGACACAAGAATTCTTTTAATTCATTGTGATGTAAGTATAGTATCAAAATTTTGATCCTTTTCTTCTTCTTCTAATAACTATAATCATGTTGAACTTCTCTCATTAGATAGAACGTGTAAGTGCAAAGAAAATTTTATATAACATAAGTAATCTTTTATACATAAATACATGATCAACATTTGAATAATATACTAAAATATAACATCAAGATTCTTATTAATCAGTAGAAATACTTTCATGATGTTTAATACAAAATATATATCATTAGGTAAATATATAAAAAGAAACAACAACAATTTATTAAATAGATAGTCTTTCATTCTAATCAATTTGTTTTTTTCTCTTCTGATACCACCCATATTCTTTTGTTTCTCTTGAAATGAATTGATCTTATAAGATAAGATTACAATCATATTCTTTTGCTTTCATACCGCAATAGTCAATTCTAATGAGATTTACTTCGTCTTTTTTTTCTTTTCTTTTTCTTAGCATAACATATTCTTAGTTATATTTATCTAAAAACATATATTTCAATTAACAATGATCGAATCTAATGATAATAAATATCGAATAAAACGTACATTTGGTAGATTTTTTAATTTCGAAGCGATTAAACGAATGTCAACTGTACGAGAAGAATCACAAGAAGATAGTCAAGAAATAATTAATGAACAACATCAATTTGATATATCGGAATATGATATTATCGAATCAATTGAGGGTATTTTATTTATATATATTGTTACATATGTTCTTTTAATTCATCACTCAGGGTATATGGTTCATTACATGTTATATATGCATGAATTCTTCACATAACAGCAATGAATGAGTATTCATACATATATAATATTTGTTTTCTTGAGTAAATATCCATCTTATGAAGTGTTAAATAGTTTTGAATGAATAGAACGAGTTCATTTAATAGATTGTAATGAATTTCTATAGGCAGCATGAATTACGAGGGTTTTATCTATCTTTAGGTATTTTGTTTTCCTTCTTTTTCATGTTATTGAATATTATTTTTGTTTTTTTTTCTATTAGAACATATCTATCAAGAAACCTCACTTAATGTTTTATCAATTGCTGATTTATTACATGAACGATTTGCATTTGTAACGGGTGGTACAAGTCATCAATGTCCAATTCTTATATTTCCGGATAATCCATATAATGAATTAACACAGGAAAAATATAAAAAACTAGTTACTTATTTAACACAAATACCTAAGTATATAATAATATTTCAGTATATATATAGAATTTTATTCTACTATAGTGAAAATGAACGTCAACTTGGTTTTGTTATTATTATTGATCGACGATTAGATAAATGGATGTCTGTTAAATCTATTATGAGTTATATCGACGTAAATAAATATCATTTCTTCTTTGTCTCATCAGACATAAAACAAAAGCACATTAATGTGAATTGTTTTACAATATCTATAGAATTAATGTTTGATCTTCACTATATAACCTAAGAGAATACAATATGAATAAAAAAAAAATACTAATATGATTTTTTTCAGACATTAAAAACTCTCTGGAGACTAACATAAGAATATTTCTATTTGTAAATGTGACCATATAACATGAACAATAAAAATACTATTTCATATAGTACTTTTACAAATATTAATAAAAATTCATTTAATATTTAAAATACATATTAGGCAATCTCTTAAAGTGTGATTAAAGTATAACAGAAACCATCTAAAAGAAAAATCCTTCTTAAGTTCAATGAATTACGTGATACATACATGTCTTCTATGAGTACAATGAAGCACTAGAATAGAGAATATGGCAATGAATGTTCTAGTTTTCATTTCTTTTTTTTCTTTTCTATATAGGATTATTTTCCTTATTCAATTAAATGTGTATATCTTCTTCGACCAAATTCATGGATACAACGAGCTTTATCTCGTTTAACAATTTCAAATAATAAAACATATTTACATCGTGTATGTTTAATGATGATAGAATTTCGAGATCGTTTTTTTTTTTTATTTTGAAATTTAGTTAATTATTTGTCAAACAGTATCTGAATTACATGAATTTATAGATCCAAGTCAATTATCTAAAGATTTAGGTGGTTTAATTGATTTTCGTTTATTTGAATGGATTGAACAACGAGCAGTAATTATTGATCATTAAAATTTTTCTAATCATTTCTCTTTTTTAAGGTTATTGAAAAATTAACTCAATCAATACATGATTTAAGTGAAATGGTACTTAGATTTATAAAACAATGTGATGAAATTGAATTTCCTAATGCGGTTGAATTAACACAGAAAATACTTATTCAACATTTAACACGAAAAAATGAACTTGAACTTGAATTACAACGAATTAAAACGTAAGTAATTATTTATACAAAATATGATGAGAGAGTGAGAGAGAAAGACAACAAAAGAAACTATATTTGTATCATAGACTATTTCATAATAATTCTCTACTCATGTCTCTCCGCATTTCTTTTCTTTTTCTTTTTCCTTTCCTTTATCCACATATACAAAATGATTATATCTCAATGTTGATCATCATCATTTCTCCATACAATTATATTGACTCTCTGCATACTTTTGTTTCATTCTGTCCTTCTACACACATTCTAGATGGGGTCAATCACTTTTATGTATTATTCGCCAAGAGCATAAACAATCTTCATCACCAACATCTCATAATAATATACTTGACAAGAATAATGATATTCATCAACTTATTTTATCACCAGATCGATCGGCACATGCTCGCGCATGTTTAGAGTAAGTATATATATATATATATGTGTATATATTAAGAAGATTCTTTATTGTTGTATATGAAACAATTTTCTTTTCTAGTGCTTTAACACATATTGATTGTATTGAAACTACTCTTTTACAATTTTGGTCTATACATAAAACACGTTTAAATCATTGTCTTGCATTACGTCATTTTGAACAACGTTTTAAAGAGTTACAATATATTTTTACAGAATTATGTAATGAACTCAATCAATTACCTGATATAAATACAAGTTTATTTTTATCGGACTATTGTCGATCTGATAATAGTAATAATAATAATAATTGTAAAGAAGAACTTGATCAAATATTAAATCAACTTGATGACCTTTCACAACGAACAGAAGTAATAATATCAATTGATGTTATTTTAGCATATATATATAAGATATGTATATAAACATCTAGACGATGATTAATCATACTATACTATTGGCAAATGATGGCCTTGCTTTGATTATGGAACAACAGAAACAGCAGTCCATATCCTATGAAATTGATTCGATTGAACCAAAACGTCAAGAATTAGAAGAAATGAAGAAAAAATTGATCGAACAAATAGAAGAAAAACGACAGAATTTAAAATTATTGAAGTTATACATCGATAAACTTGGTTCTGTAAGTAGAAGAGGCAAACAAAAAAAAATATATTGTATCATATTTATTTTAGATTAATGATTGGTGTCTACGTGGAAAAGATATGTTAGCAATGCATCCTATTCATTTATCAAATGAGAAAGCTATTCGATCTTTAGCTGAACTTGAATATTTTCTTACCGATCTATCAACAATGAATATCGAAGAATTGCAACATACAACAGCAACAGAACCACTTCATGTAAGGATACTTGCATTGTTTATTTTTCTTGAGTCAGAAGATAATCTTTCTGTTTTATACAAAAAAAAACCTCTACTCTCCGATAAAAGGTATACTGGAATATACAACGAAGTTTCATATATAGATTTTCCTTAAATGTTATATGTCAATGTAAAAAGACCATATTTATAAAAATCTACATCAAATTTGACATGTAATTATTCACATATATGGAAATGATCAGACGATCAATTATATTCTTTAGTTTAAATAATACTTCGTGATGAAATCAATGGTAAAAAAAAAGATCTTTATATATATATTCAAGGATGTTCCTTAGATCTATTGCATTCATTTGTCATTATCATTTTGTCTTTGTATATATACACGCGAACATTGCTCAGCTATTAACTTGATGATGTTTATACTTTGCTATATGTATATATTTTTCAAGCTTTTGTCTTAGACTATAGACATATATAATATTAGGCATAATTGTGTTTTGAATACAGCTGCAAGCAATTTTTCAAGCATCAAAATATAAAGATTTCATTTTCTTTATCATAATCCAGTGAATTAAATATTCAAGTTATTTCTTACCGTCTATGTAATTAATTATCTAAAAACAATCAACTTGATATCTAGGATTCTAAAGCATAGACTACATGCTTGGTAAATACAGACAGAATATCGAGTTTCTAAAATTATTGATGTTTTTATTTAATAACAAATTTGGAGATACAAAATAATTTGATATCGTCTTCCTTCTATTTATAATAGTCAATGATTATTCAAGTATTTCATCGTGTAAATGATGTACGAGATTTATGTGAAAAACGATGTGAACAACTGCGACAACTTGCTAAACCTATTTATCGACCTGTACAACGTGTTTATCCATTATCATTGCCACAAAATGAATCATTTAATCTTCTTAATACAACAACATCGATATTACAACGACAACAAGAAATAAACGAACAATATTCGTTATTTGATATGGATTCAAATGCATCATCATCAACATCACAAAATGATTCAAATGCAAAAATGGATAAGAAACAGAGGTAAAAAGAAAATAAATATTAATTTATATCAATAAGAAGAAATTTGTTCTTGTATTAGACATGTTGTTACAGAACTTTTAGTTACCGAACAAGTTTATGTTGAAGAATTACGCACTATAATTGAAGTAAATCCTTTTTTATATATATATTGAAGTTTTGATGTAAATCATTAGGGTTATATGCTCAAATATGATGATCCTGAATACTATCGTTATTTACCTTCAGTTATATTACAAAATAAATCAACACTTTTCTCTAATTTACCTGATATTTATTCATTTCATGAAAGGTAAAATATAATTTTTCCTTGTAATTAATTAATTACTAAACTTATTATATAGATTATTCCTTCGTGAACTTCAACAAATCTATGCTAATTCATTATTGATTAATTCTTGTTCGGTTGGAAGTGCTATTGCTTCATGTTTTATCAAACGGGTAAAATTTGTTTTTTTATATTTGAAAAATATATCGAATATGCTTTCTATTTTAGAAATCAAATTTTAAATTATATGAACAATATGTTCTTAATAAATCTCAATCGGAACATATATGGGAACAATATTGTTCTGGCCATTCATTTTTTACCGTAATAAAATCAACTATAAACTTTTATTTCTTTTCATAATCAAAATAAATTTTTAGAAAATTCAATTATCTCTCGGTCATCGACTTCCATTAGATTCATATCTATTAAAACCTATTCAACGTATAACACAATATCAACTTTTATTAAAAGTAAAACAAAATCTTTATTGCTCTATAAATAAAATTCTTAATTAGGAAATGATAAAATATACACGTCTTGAACAAGAACGTATACATTTACAAGATGCTCTTAATGTTATGCTTAATATTTTATCATATCTTAATAATGTTATGCATTCAACACAAATTATTGGTTATTCTGTAAATTAAAAAAAAGATTAAATTTTGTACGAATAAATATTTGATTTTATAATCTAGGATAATTTAAATACATTAGGACAAATCCGTCTACGCGGTGAAAATTGTTTAATATCAAAAGAAAAACGACGTGGAACAGTTTATACACGGACAAAAACCAGTACAAGAGATATATTTTTATTTGAACGTGTTATATTATTATGTAAGAAAAAAGATGAAGGGAATGGAAAATCTATTCATTATCAATATAAAGAATTAATTAAAGTAAAAAAATCGAAATATAGATTTACGTATATGTAATTTTGCTTTCTGAATTAGATTGCTGATATTGCTGTTTGTACACATCCGAAAAATGATCGAAAAAAATTTGAAATTGTATTAAAAGATTACTCATATATTATACAAGTATATTTGTAAAATAGATATTTCTTTTATTGATTAAATATCATACGTTATAGTTTTCATCAAATGGAGAAAAAGTTGAAGAACTAACTGTACGTTGGATTGATACAATTAAAAAATGTGTTACACAACAAACAGAACAACGTCGAGGTTTGTTTGAATATGAGGAGTTTGAAAAAGATTTTTGATTGTTTTCGTTCGATGAGCGAAATTATTAATATTCTTAATCACAGTTGTGAAAGTACTGAATTACTTCATCAATAATATCGTGCCCATATGCGATTACAACCGAGAATCTTCTTCAATAATGATGTTTATTTAGCTACATTATTTTCGTAATTCTATCTTTGTATTTATATATACATATGTTTAAGTAATAATTATATAAGAGAAAAGAAAGTCGAGATCAATAACACGAAGTATAAAAGATAATAAAAATATAGGTCAAATCAACTATATTTGATTATTTTTATTTTTAATCATATTTTTTGTTTCTAGCGGAAATAAAACATCGTAGTTCATCATTAGATCATTCAGCACATTCACATCGGCGACGTATACATAATTTCGTGAATAATACTGTTCGAACTCCGTAAGCTTGATAATTTTTACATATGATTTGAAAACAAAAACTGTTTTCTTATTTAGTGGATCGGATGATGAACAAGTTCATTTACCTATTGCATTAATCGATTTAAATACAGAATATATGAAACAAAATAATAAAATGGTATTTTAGATAATGACTATGAAGAATTTTATATCTATTTAATGAAAATGTTTTTCTAGATGACTAATAATTCTATTTCACATTTATAAATATTCGAATATTTGCCTAGGTAAAGTTGGGAAATTATGCATAACTCAATTTGAATAGATATTATTTTATTGTAGCAAATTAATTGGTATAGCCGGTGAAGAACTCATTTTTTCTTTTCTTTTCTTTTCTTTTAAAGAAATTTTAAAATGTATATTGTTTTTAATGAAATAAAGTTTTGTGTTTAATCGAATAGATTATCAGACAAAATGACGTATTGATAAACATGATATTTTACCATTTGATGAACGAATAAGAATAAATGATTGTTGAGATGGTTTTATCGGAGATAAATGATTATTTAAAGTTCGTACCATTAATATTCGTCGTGATGTTGTACTACTAAAAAATATGACAAAATTTTTTCAGAGAACAGGTTTTGTAGTACTGTCTATAAATCAAATATATGTCGTGGGCCAATCCTAGATTGTCCTAGGCTATTCTAAGATCTCATTTTGGTCTGGTTCAAACCAAAATTAAGTCGAAATCTAATATCAAAACTCACTTTTGACCCTGAAGATAATTTCAGGTTTCGGTTGACTTATTCGAAAACTACAGTCAAATGGATTAAATATATAATCTTGCTTAGAATGAAATGATTTATGTATGAAGTATACCCATTTGGCTATAGTTTTCGAATAGGCAAACCGAAATCTGAAATTATCCTCAAGACCAAAACTGAGTTTTGACTTGAGCCTAGTTTGAACTAGTCGAAACTGAGATCGTAGAATGACCTAGGCCAATCCGAGATTTGCTGTTGAAGTTTAGAGTGATGTTTACTTATTTGTACTTCTATTATCTATTATTGTATTTAAAGAACGATCAGAATGATTGTTTTTATTTGTTGTCGAAGATAATCTCTATGAAAATCAATAGTAAATATTGACTATTATACGATTATTTTACTTTAAGAGAATGAGAAGAATATGAATTAGGTCTCATTTTAACAACCCAACAAAGACATTGTAGATCATCATCGATATAATTATTTGAACATTTAACTAATCGAGAAACAAAAATTTTCCGATTCAAAACAAAAAAATGTTTTTATAATTCACCTGTTGATTGTAATTCATTACTATTTGATACTTTTAACCAAGAAAGATTCGTAAGATACTCATCTTCGATATAATCCATATGAATGAAATAATCAATCTCTATATTGTCATCTAATTATCACATGGCGGTCAAATCACATTCTTTAGCAACTTAATTCATTAACAGTAAAATGAGTTACTATATACTAAGATTCGAATCGATTTAATTATTTTTGTAACACACGAATTATTCACAAATTTTTTTGTATATAAGCAGAATCATAAATAAAAACATCTTTATTTGTTCAACTAGTTATTATGTGAATCATATTAGCATCATTTATCAAATATTATTTTCTCTTATGATGCATACCATTTAAAAACTTATCTCCTTTATGATTGGAATTATATATTAATAAAATCATAGATCCTTGAAATTTGATTCTTTCATTATTAGACATTTCTTAATGAAGATATTTGGAAATTAATATCTGATTTAATAATAAAACGTCTCTCGATGATCGTATTCTTTTTTTCCTCATAATAAATTTTTTGTTTATATGATGGTGATATATTAATAGAAATTCCAAAGAGAAAAACAGTTACTAATGAAATACAGAATGCTTATATACTTCGCGTATGGAATTATTTATTACATTGCTACAGAAATGTCAATGTAATTCATATACATTCTAATCGAAAACATATTTATCAAAAAATGTAATGTACTGGATTAGATATATGCCCAGTCGATATTCATGAAAGTTAGAAATAAATAATTAACTATATATGTCGTTGAATTAATTAAGATAGTTGTTTTATTCAGAATAATTATGTGTATATTCTAGTAAAAACCTTGAAAATCAATAAATCTTATTCGATATTTTCGAACGATATCGCTAGTTGACGGTACTTTTAATAAGAAAATAAGTCATGATAAATAACAGAAACATAATTGATAAATAATTTTTACAATTAATAAGTAAAAACTATCGAATCAAATGTTTATTCTGATATTAATTTTCTTAGATAAATCAATATTTTCGTTCAAAAACATCAATAAATTCGTATGTTATATTTTTATCTTATTCGAGTAGAAGGAGAGATGGAAGAGGCAAAAAGAACAGGACAAGAGAAAAATAATCTTCAGAGAACGAGAGAAAAAAAACAAGGGTTAAGGTCATGTACTCAAGCTGAGAAGTATTTTATAGGGGTGAAAATAGAATTGATCGGTTATTAGTAATATTATTTAATCGTAACTAGTAGAGAAAGCGAATGTTTATTTTTAATCATTTTATTTTGAAGAAAAAACTTAAACACACTAGTTTCGTATTATTTTGTTGTACATAGAAAACATATAAACGATATCTTTATTCATTTTTAGATATTTTAAAGAGTAATCCCGGTGAAAAACTTTATTTTATATAATATCAACTTAGTCGATAACGTGTGTTTATTCTTTTAATGCACTTGCCGAATGATCTTATCTCTATGGTAAGTATTATATAAAAAAACAAACTTGTATAAACATATTAATTAGACTAGAGTGTTTTTTACATAATAAATATTTCATTCGAAAGTTAGAATACGATTCGATGTTCTCAACATATTATTATAATATCGACTGATAATAACTTTTATCCTACTTCTTTAAGAATAAGGTCAGATTTCACTGACTCACCTTAAAGAAAGATTAATATTCGAAAAGACGAATCTTTTCTTATAATCGGAATAGTTTTATGTGAAAATGTACTTGAAATATGCAGTCAATCGTATATGATGAACCGAATTAGAAATATCATATATATATACAATTAAATTTTAGAAAAATATGTTCTCTCAAACATCAACAGTGACCTATCATCCTAAACATCGAACATGGTGGCAACAACAGGATTGTGTTATATGTGGTTCTACAGCTATTGGTGTTAATTTTGGTGCACGTACATGTGCACCATGTAAAGGTATGGTAAATATTTCATGAAATTTATTGTATATTTTATTTTAATATTTATAGCATTTTTTCGTCGAAATGCTCGACGAAAAGAAGTAAGATATTTTTATGAATTAATTTATTTTAGAAAAAGAACAAATAAATTGTAGATTCTTCAAACTCTTTGTCCATTTCAAGAATCATCTACTTCAAATTTAAATGCTAATGATAATCATGAAACAAATATTTATTGTTCACAAATACGTTATTGCTCATCATGTCGATTACGTCGTTGTTTTGATATGGGCATGAAAGAAGAATTAGTTCGAACTGATAAAGAAAATGAACGATATAGACAACTTGTCGAAACAAATCGACAACGTCGAAATCAGTTATTACAACAAGATCAATTTACTATTCCTCGGGTACGTTCATTTATTTGTAGTTTAACATATAGTTATCTTTCTAACTGAGGAAATATTTTTTTAGAGAATATCTTTGTAAGAAATCGGATTCATCTAACGAACAGTACCCGACTTCGAACTATACGTATAAGTAAAACATGAGCTCAAACAGAGGTATCACCTTAGATGGTTCCCTCGTTAGTCAGATCTAGTAGTATCATTTCACATTTCAAACATTCAAAATATAGTCGTTTGAGTATTGCTAGTAATAGTGATCAAATACTACAGAGTACAGGAAGCTCTAAAACTTATTAATATTTTAATCAACTAGCTCGTTATGATTCACTATATGAAATTGTTCGCATCTGATTTTTGATAGAATAAAATATTTTTTAAATGCTTTTATTTAGCAAATTCTATCGAAACGTGTTCTATTACATGAAACAGATTGGAATGATATATCCAATATAGTTATTGCTTATGAGACCTATTGTCTTAAAAACTACATTCAACAACGTGCAAATACATATCATAATCAATCCCAAATCTCTGATGATGATGATACTGCAAAAATAAATCATCATGCTTCAACAACGATTAATAAAATGACATCTTTTCTATTATTTCTTTCAACAATTCCAACTGTTAAATTGCTTCCTAAATCTGATCGTATTTTTTTATGTAAACATAATATTCGTCCATTAATTTTACTTAATTCACATGAACTTGATCAATTGTGCTATTCAGAACCTTGGCAGGTAAAGAAATTTTATCAATAATATCTTTAGTATATTAATGCATCCATATGAATTCTTATTTTTAGTTAATGTATGATGATCTTTCTGCTAAATATGTATGTGGAAATGATTTATTTTCTGAACTTGTTAATACAAAACATCGTGCAGAACAAATCTTGATAACTGATCCAGTAGTAACACGTCTTTGGCTTCTTATATTATTTTTTTCTACACCACTTCATTGTTATTATAATAGTTCTTTGCCAGAAATATCTTTAAATCAAAGAATAGCTCTAGTAGAAATTCAACATTCATATATAAATTTATTATGGAATTATTTATCACATCGTCATGGAGATATAGAAGTTATTCGTATATTTTCAAATCTTACTAGTGTTTATCTTAGTATGCAACGAATAAGTCAAGCAATAAATACAATAATTCGTACACGAGATGATTTATCAACATTAAATGAATCATTCGATCGAGCTGTAGTAATTGATAGTGACGATAAATAGAATAGTAGAACAGTATTTTTGTTTTGTTTTGTTTTTCAAATGATGTATTTAGTTTTGCATATGTATTATTATTATTATGTGTGATATAAAAAAGAAGTATTTTTTTCTACTCCGAGTGAAAAATAATATAAGGCTTCTGTTTATTTTTTAAGTGCTTATAGTTGATAGTAAATTAAAATGAATGAAGAGTTTAGCCTATATGAATTAGAATGAAGCAAGATTTGGGGAAACTTAAAATTTGTAAAAAAAATTATAAATGGGTTTTTTGTTTTTTTAAAACCGTCTGGAATAAAATGAAAAAATATAATGTTTTGTTTATTTTCGAGTACGTTTTTGACTTCGATTTCCTGAATTAAATTCCATAGCAGACGAAGTGGATGGTGCATCGGGTAAAAAATTAACAGCAGCACGGTCATTTGATTCATTGGAAGTTTTTACATTTAATTCTCCTAAAATAAAAATAAATAGAAAATAATTATAAAATAGATTTATATTCTTACTATCCAAACTACTGATATACAGATAATTAGCTTGATAAATTAGATCTTTTTTATATTGAACATTAATTTTTGCTTCGACGCGATTCATATGAACATTTGGAAGTACAGGCATTTCAAAGGAAAAATTATTTCCATTCTTCTTGATTTCTTCTCCTTTACGAGAGCAATTGATATCATTTCCAATTATATTGACAACAAAGTTAGTTTTGAAATCGTTTGGAACAGGACCTTTTGTTTCTATGCATATTTTTCGCTTACTTTGCATTGGTCCATCTAGCGGAAATACATCTTCCACACGAAATTTGCCATACTCTTCTGTCATTACGATAGTATCTATGACACTACTTTCATCGCGTTCATATGAACCATCAATAGTTTGATAAAAACGTGTAAAACGAAGTTTAGATTGATTAAGTTGTCGTTGATTAATTTTTTCTTTTGTTATTTTTTTCCCATCTTGTCTACCTTTGATTAATTCAATTTTATAACTAAAAAGATGAAAATATATAAACTGAAAACTTTTCGAAATTAATTTACCTTTTATAACCCTTTACAAGATCATCATTAGTTACATCGTAATATATTGTATTTGATTCATTTTTCTTAACTACTAATGATGATTTACCACATTCCTTATTCTTAATTGTATATGGATGTGGTTGATTATCAATGCCAAGTAGAGTTACTTGAATAACGTTCTTTTGATTACGCCACGTTTGAGATATCTACGAAATAGAAAAAACTCTTTTTATGAGTATTCAGATAAGTAATTCTGCATTTACATTTGTGATTGGATATTCATATTTGTCTCCGTCTTCACAGCGTACGAAATGGGATGATTTAATGCTTTCGCTTTCCGTTCGTGGATGAAACTTTTCACGTGGTTGAGATATGATATAGAAATCTTCAGATACCATGCTATCGAGTTGATTACTGTGCCGATCTTCCACTTGCTCTTGGTTTGGTTCGTGAATATCATTGGTAGCTACAAAAATATTATTTATATTAATATATTGCAAATCATCTCTTTGGCTTAGTTATACCTGAATTAGTATAAAATGGACATACTGTTCTTGGTTGCTGAGTAATTTGCTGGTAATTCATTTGTTGTTCATTTGATGTTTGAATGTCATAGGGAGCTACAAAAAAAAGTGTTTATATCAACATATTGCAAATCATCTCTTTAGTTTAATTATACCTGAATTAGAATAAAGTGGACGTTCTGTTGCTGATTGTTGATCAATCTGCTGGTAATTCACTTGTTGTCTATTTGATGTTTGAATATCATTGGTAGCTACAAAAATATTATTTATATTAATGTATTGCGAATCATCTCTTTAATTTAATCATACCTGAATTAGAATAAAGTGGACGTCTTGTTGTTGATTGTTGATAATCTTAAAAGATACGGAAGTTTTACTAGCGAAATTTATCATTCAAAGTTGAACTTACTAGATATAGTTGGACTGGTACTATTATTAATGGTACCATAATTGTTGTTACTGTTGAAATTCGAGACTTGTGGAAAATGCAATTGAGCACCAGAGGTACCACGTAAGTAGTCACATATCTAAGAACAAAATAAATTAATGCAATCTGAAACATGTTTTATTCAAACAAATATACATCAACAGATAATGCATCAGCATTTGATGTTGCTGATATTAATTCTGATAGATCATCAACATTGATTGAAGGAAAGAACTCATCGAAATCTGCCATATCTATGCTTTTATATACACTTGGAATATATGAAAATTATTTGTTAAAATACTGTTCTGAAAATAAAATAAATATATGTTTAGAAAAGACAAACTTTTATTTATAAAAATTGTTAAGAGCAAGACGGTTGATAAAATTATGCATTTTGTTCGCGTCAGGCACTTCATATATATATAGTTTCAACTGCTATGGAAAAAAACAACACTTGAAGGCGGTTAATCATTCACTGTTTAACCGTTATTATGAAACAACAGTGAAGCCTGTAACATAACCGTAAGAATATAAGTAATAACTGCCTGAAGTTTATATTTGCTTAACTTCAATCAGACGAAAAAAATAAACATGCGCAATTGTATGTTTAACCCTTTCAGCATTGGTTTAATTTTGAAGAAAAAAAAAGACTCGCTATATATTTGTACGTGGTTGGATTTATCCCACTGACGTTTAAAAAAAACGAAAAAGATTCATAGATGCATGTAGTGTATGCTGTCTGCATTATAAGAATAGAGAAAAAAGAGAATTATACTATAACAAAATCAACCGTCTGATTTATAATTTTCTTTTCAAGCTGAAATAAAATGCAAGAGTAGTGTACTTTTACAGAAAAAAAAGAAATGACGCCAGGGCGTATGTAAACATCAGAAATTTTGAAAGGGTTAATAGTGAATTGTATTACCCAATACAATCGAATATAACTCAGTATTCGATTATCATTTGAAATTTCATCTAATCTGAAGACATTTCACAAAGTCTGAAATAGTGCAAAATGATTTCTATTTAATTGTTATAGATGAGATGTAATAAAAAGTAATAAAGAGGGAATGGTGTTATATACCACATTAGGATTGAAAAAAACTAACAAAATAATTCATACAAGCACAAGTGTTATCTATTTATAGCATAATCAATATTAATATATGAAAGACTAAGCATCGAAATCTATCAAATACAAAAATAATTCCTGTAATTAAATTATTTCAAGTGAAATATAGAACTTTAGAACGATTGATTTTTTTATAAATATATCGGATTATTACATTTTTTTCGAGGAAATTATTTCACTCCTAGATAATCTCAATACGAATTATTTTTTTATAACAACAATAGTAAAGAACTAAATATTCTAAAAAACTAAATGAATATTTGACCAAAGAGAAAACGTATAGGTGTAGGACCTCGAACACCTTGCAATCACATTTAGTATTGAGCTGCAATACGCATTGTCTTGGATTGAACTTATATGTTAATACGTCAACATTATGAGTGGCAAGTTTTAACATCTTATCTTATCGATGAATATATTATAAGTTTTGACTTTACTGTGTCGAATATTACTGGCAGTACTTCTTTTCACATATAATAAACCAAAAGATGAAATTATCATCAAGAATATGTATTTATCTTTTGAATGCAATTTTTCAATATTTACTATTATGTAATCATCTTCTAGGTGTGATGAGTATACCAATATAATTTAACTTAGAAAATGAAGTTAACAAATCATTTGTTCTTCTCTATTCAAGGTTCAAATGTTACTATTTTAAGAACAAATTTAGATTCATATTCTGTCATAAGAGAACAAAAGAAAATATAAAGTGCGCATGTGTTTCAATTTCAACATATAGAGAAGAGAATGAATCTTGTTGTTACTTTTCCTATTAAACAAAGATGAGTTACAAGAACATACACATACTATAGGGCAACATTTATCATAGTGTTTCTTGGTCTGTCAAAAAAAAAGAATCAAATTTTTCGTTCTGTATTTATTTCTTTTTTTTTCTTTCAAATTTATATGACTATTATATCGAATATAAATGAAACAAATTTAACATCATTAATTAAAGAAGGAATAAATGTAAGTGAATTTCTAAGTAGTACAATGATGCCAACAATAACAGCAAAAATAATAATATCAACAACTACAAATTCATTTCTACGTCAATTTAATACAACAAGAATCTATCCTTTTCTACGTTCACCAATAATAACAACAACAACATCACAAACATCATTTTTATTACATAAATATTTTATGTTTAAATCACCATTTCATTATATAATACGTAGTATAGAATTATTCATTTTAAGTTTAACAATACCATTATATGTTATTGTTTTTATACTTTTTATTGAATTAACTATTTTACGTGTAAATACAAATACGGCTGTATCTGGTGGTAATTCACGTAGTAGAAGACAACGACGTCGACAGCATATGCATAATCTTATATGGACATCAAATTATTTACTTGTTGATCTTCTTAATCTTTTATATGAAGTTATTTATGTTATTATACATTTATCTGGTCAATTACCATTACAATCATTTACTGGTCGTTTTTATTGTCAATCACAAGTTTATGTACCATTATATTTAACTGTACTTATGGCATATAGTTTAACAGCGATATCAATTTATCGTCGTCGTCATTTTATTAATTTAAATAAACATATGAAACAATCAAATTTAATAAGTATATGTATGATTAGTTCACTTTGGATGTTACCGATAATAACATCAGTATTTCCAACATTTCTATTAGTTTATTTAAATATTTTAAAAATAACACAACATGAAACAACAAATCAATGTCAAATTTCTTATACATATGAATCAAATATGCAAGCTATGTATATATTTTATAGACTTGGTAAAAATAACTAATATGAAAATGTTTTTTTTTAATATTGTGATATTTTCTATTTAGGTAATGTTTTTCTTTTACCAATATCAATTTCTTTAGCTTGTTATATAACAATATATGCTGATTTAATACGTATGCAACAACGTTTTAATCGAGCATTTAAACGTCATGTACATATACGAAAAAATCTTATATCACAAATACTTTTTTTATTTCTTAATTTTGCTGTTTTTTGGTTACCTGCTGAAATTATAACACTTTATACAAAAAATCGTCATCTTAAAGACGCTGTACAAGTTACAAAATGTTTAAATATTCTTCTTGATCCATTAATTATTACTGGTTTTGATACACGTTTTAAATCAGCTGCTAAACAATTATTATCAACACCAGCTTTTCATGGATTTCGACGTTGTTTTAATAGTAATCGTCAACATGATGATTCAACAGCAACAGCAACAGCACAAATAATACCAAGAAGACGTTTTAAACATTCACGTCAAATGACTACAAATAGTGAACAGATGACAACAGGTGTTACGTGGAATATTGGTAATAATGATGATATTACTGTATTAGAATCGGTATCAAATCATTCGTCACAAAAAAAGCAAAGAACAAGACGACAACAAAAACAACGATCCATATCATCAATGAATCAACGTCCATTAAAAAATAGACCACGAACATCAACACAAATACGAATGAAAATAGTTGAGAATAATCATTAAAAATAAATTTATTTAATAAAAATGAAAGATTATTGCAGTATAAATGAAATAGTTCTATTATAGTGATAGATGTTGTTTTGATAGAGTAACAAAAACGTGTAGGCATAAAATCTTTTTTTTCTTCTTCTCTCGATTTCAATTCAGTCATCAATTGATTCTTCTTTCTTATCAATAATCATTGAAATAAACAAATATCTCACATTACTATTCTTTACTATAATCAATAACAATGTCTTCGAATAAAAATTTTCAAGTTTACATAACTGGTGGTTTTGCTGCCATCGGTGGTCTTCTTTTTGGCTATGATACAGGTGTTATTTCAGGTGTCCTTACAATGTCAGATTTTCTTCTGGCATTTGGAGGTACGACAAGTCTCATACGTGGTTCATTAACAAGTTCAATATCAGGTTCTATTGTTGGTATTATGCTTGTTGGTTGTTTTCTTGGTGCACTTATAGCAGGTCCATCTGGTGATCGTATTTCACGAAAATATTCTATTGTACTTTTTTCCTTAGTTTTTATTATAAGTGCTATCTTACAAACAGCATCAAATAATTTATTTGTATTACTTCTATCACGTCTTGTTGCTGGTAAGATGATTTTATTTCTTTTTGTAATTAAAATTAAAAATATTCTTTATGATACTATATTTAAGGAATATCAGTTGGAGCATTATCAATGCTTGTACCTGTATATCAATCTGAAATAGCTACAAAAGAAATTCGTGGACGACTTGTATCACTTCAACAATGGGCTATAACAATTGGTATAGCAATTAGTTTTTGGATTAATTATAGTAATTAAAATGAATAAACAAATCGTTGAGAATTAGAATTTATTTTATTGATTATTTTTAGGTACTGATATTTATTTTTTGGGTAGTAGTGCTGCATGGCGTATTCCATTAGCATTACAAATTGTTCCTGCATTAATTCTTGCAATTGGTATTCTTTTTTTTCCATTTTCACCTCGTTGGTTAATGGTTCAAGGTCGTGATAATGAAGCATTAGTTGCATTAACTAAAATTCGTTCAGCATCATCATCCGTTGATGTACTCGATGAATATAATGATATAAAAAATGAAATTGAATTTGAACGTGAACAATCAATACAATCTTATTCACAATTTCTTTATCCACCACTTCGACGACGTTTAGTACTTGGTATAAGTATACAAATTTTACAACAACTTACTGGAATTAATTCAATTATGTATTATGCACCAGAAATTTTTAAACAATCTGGTTTAAATGATCAACGTGCATCATTACTTGCAACTGGAATAAACGGATGTGTACTTATTCTTGCAACTATACCAGCTATTCTATTTATTGATAAATTAGGACGACGTTTTGTATTGATTAGTGGTGCAATTCTTATGGCTTTATCAATGTTAATCATTGGTGGAACAATGGGAGTTCATGGATATACACATTTTAATGAAACAACAGGTGCTGTTCAAGTTATTATTCCAAATCAAACAGCATCCCATGTTATCATAACATTCGTGTATATATTTGTTGCTTCATTTGCATTTAGTTGGGGACCAACTGCATGGATTTATTGTACAGAAATTTTTCCATTAAGTATGCGTTCGAAAGGTACATCATTGACAACAGCTGCTAATTGGGCAACTAATTGTATAGTTTCATTTCTTGTACCTTCCATGCTTGAAAGTCTCACCTATGGTACTTATCTTATATTTGGTATTCTATGTGTTTTTATGGGAATTATAATATATTTATTTTATCCCGAAACAAAAGGAAAAAGTTTAGAAGATATGGATCTTGTATTTGGTCGATCAGTATTTGCTGTTAAATCAATTGGAAAAAAGAAGCAAATGAAATCTATAGATAGAAATGGAATTAGTACAATTCAAACTTCTTCTCATAATGGACTTAAACGAATTTATTATTTTTAATTTAGCATGAGTTTTTTTTTCTTCTTATTTGTAATAGCTTAGAATATATGAGAATGACAAATAAGATTTTATCATAGGTTACCTATTTGAAAAAAAATTATTTTGATTTAATAAAAAGATATGATTATATGTAATTCATTGACGTTTTTATTATGTGATAGTTTACGACCTCTACCGAATGTGTCTTACACGATAAGATTTATTTGCTTGCTGTCAAAACAAAATTATTAGTCATTCTTATTAAGTTTATCTCTATTGTATATTTTTTCCTTGGGAATCCTTATCTTTTCTTTTTCAATGTATTTGTCATTCATGATTGAATATAGAAATTTATAGACAAATTTTATCCGTGAAATAATGGATTGGAAATCAGATATAGTTGGTCAATTAAAAGTTCACAAACATCAATGGAATATTTTCGATGAAATTATAGAGCATTGTATATAAATATTTATTTATTGTATTGAAATTAAAAAATAAATTTTCTATAGATAATCGTCTTTTGGATAATCATGTTTTTGTTCAAACTCGATGTGCTAAACTTGAAAAGGATGTTGGTCATTTGCGTTTGGCTAATGCCGGATTAGAAAAAGCATCAGAAGCTAGGTTTGTTTACTTATGAAATTAGAATAATTCTATTGTTTTTCTTTAGTCAAGAATTAGCAAATACAAACAGTAAATTATCAGTTGCAACAGAAGAAGTTGTGATGCATTTACGAGAAAAAGGAGAAGTAAGTAATATAGAATAGATTTTATTTTTAAAAGAATTTGTCTTTAGCTTGCTGGAGAAGTTCTTCGACTTAATCGTGCATTGAGTGAAATGTCTGATAAATTAGTTAACGAAGAATCAAAGTAAGTATTAACAATTAAGAAAATAATTATTTAAGATTTAAATATTTTTTTGTTTATTAAGAGTTCAACAATATAAAAATGAAAACGAGCAATTAATTCAGAAATTGGAGAAAACTGAGACCGAATTGAATGATTATATAAATATAAATCGAGTAAAATAATTATTATATTCATTATTGATTTATTTCTATAATATTGATATTTTTAGATACTTCGAGAGGAATTTATAGCTGCACAAAATAGACTTGATCTATTACAAATAGATTATAGTCGAATGAGACCAGCTTTTCTAGAATTTGAACAACAATTAGAAACCGAAAGAAGAATAAATAAACAACGTGAAGATGAATTAATAGAATGTAAAAGGGTTCAATTGGAAATGCTTAATGCAGAAGTTGAACGATATAATAAGTTAATCCATCCATCTTGAAAAATAAAGAAAAGAAGAATACATAATTTTTTTCTTGTTATAGACGAGATCGAGTTCGTAGAGAATCCAATATTATTGATGGTGATTTAGTAGTGATTACAACATCTCGCACAAGTTCGTCTGATTTCAGTACATCTGGTTTAGTAAATACAAATAAGTCATCAACAAATGATCATGATACAATGCAAAATTCTACAGGTGAATCTTATAGTCATGATAGAAGAAATACTACAACTAATATATCTCTTGTTGGAGGAAATATATTTTCAAAGGTCAAAGGTATGTTCAATCTTGGAATAACCAATGTAGCAAATGATAGACTTTATCGAACATCAACATTTTGTGCGGCAGCTTCAGTTCCAACACGTGAACTTCATCATTGGGTAAGAGTAAAAACAAAATTAAATCTCTTTAAGATAAAAATCGTAACGAAAATTCTACGTAAAGGAAAGGTTTAATGTCTTAAAAATTGCAATCTCAGTAGATTATTTTTATTTAGGACTGCACTGATTTAGAAGTATATACTCTTTTATTTCAACCATCGGGTTCAATATTAGCTACTGGATGTAGTGATAAAATGATTTATCTATGGGAAATTGCATCATCAGGTCAACCATATAAATATTGTACGCTTCATGGCAGTCATGGTGCAATCAATGCACTTGATTTTGATAATGAAGGAGTAAATAAAATATTTATTAACATTATATAATATTTTCTTTTTTAATCATTGAATTAATATTAGAGTCGTCTATTAGCTGGTTGTTCAGGTGAAAAAGCCTATATTTGGTCTTATGGTGATAATCGAATGCTTAAAGATGTATATGCTGGTCATGAGAAAGTTATACATACATGTAAATTTATATCAGGAACAAAATTAGCAACTGGTAGTGCTGATCGATTAATTAAAATATGGGATCTACAAAGTCGACAATGTACTATTCTTTTAAAAAAATCAAAACATTTTTCATATTTTTCTTCCTTTTTTTTAAGGTATACAAACATTGTTTGCTGGATCGAAATGTCATGATTTAGTTATAAAAGATGCATCTGGTACAATCATAAGTGGACATTATGATAAGAAAATTCGTATATGGGATACATCTTCAGATAAATGTCGAACTGAACTACAGTATGATGCGTCAGTAACATCATTATCATACAATGCAGGTCTAGAAAAGAAACTTGTTTTATTTTTCTTATTGAATATTATTAATTATTTTTTATTTTCTAGAGAGACAACAATTATTAGCATGTTTAAAAGATGATACACTTAAATTAATTGATTTAAGACAAAATAATGTTATTTATACATTTAATCATGATCATTTTCAAGTAAGTACTGATACAACTAAAGCTATCTTATCGCCGGATGGTCGTTATGCATGTGTTGGTTCTCAAGATGGATCTATAATTATATGGAATACAACAAATGGTATTTGTGAAAAAGTATTACTTAAAAATCATACGTATGAAATTAATCTCAATTTGATTTATTAATTAATTCAATTATCCTTTCTTTTTTTTTCTCTAGAACAATGGTTACATCAGTAGCATGGCATCCGGAAGGAAGATATGTTGCTTCTTGTGAAAAACATCGACGAGTAATTTTATGGAGTGATTAACTTATTTTTTTTTCTTTCTTTTGATAATTGTTTTCGACAAATCATTCTTTATTTTTTTTGTGATCTTTCGACATACTAGCTAAATTTATGTATATAGTTATGTTATTATTTTATTCTCCAAAAATTCATCTTAATTCAGAAGTAATTTATTTTCTTGATCCATTTTATTCTATTCTATCATAATGAAATAAAAATTTGTATATTTATTAAAATGATTATTTGCATGAATTCCATGTAATATAAATAAAAAGTCTTGAGGGTGTGAGTATGTTAGCCATAATACACCCACATCCTCAAGGTTATTTTTGTAATTAATTGTCGATTGATATTAAATGATTTATAATTGTTTCAATGCTTTTAAGTTTTTACATGATGGTCAATATCAGCTTTTGCTCGATAATAGACTGGAAATTGCTGACTGTAACCAATACATGTGGCCTGAATTGCATTAGGTTTGGATTCTTTCGAAAATAATTCATATTCAGCGATCTTCAACCATTCTCTATTAAATATTCTTTTTTTGAACTTCTTTTTCTTCGATTTATCACTGGATGATATCTGTGACTCGATTGTTACTGATGCTTCACTATCTTCATCTTGATCAATATGGCTATCATTAACAGTAATCATCTTTTTCTGCTAAGTTCAAATGTTATAGATTATTATATTTTTAACTAACAACGAACAATAGACAGAAGATTGTACACAAGGAATTGACAGATTTGGATGATTAGTAAAAAATGCTTCAGAAAGAAAGATATTGGTAAAGAGCGGCCTCAGCAAGTAACTTATATACTGGCCGTTTTTATTAATTACTGGAAATTGGAGATCGCCATCTTATTAATTTAATTACACATCACTAAGAATTCATCGGATATGTATGAAATGATGATTTATTAGAACTGAGATTGAGTTAAAAATAAAAAGCAGATAATATTTTAAAAAGCAGAAAAAAAGCAGAAAACATGGCGGCCATGTTCATAAAGTTTTGTTGAAAGTCTTAATATAGAGTGAAGATAAATGTTAGTGTGTATTGTGTAATGTTTTATAAGAGCAATGTTCGTAGTAGAGTAGTAAGATATTAATGAATAAATAAAGGTTAGTAATCGATCAGTCTTAACAATGTGAGAGAACGCTGACGGTGGCCGAACCATAGTTTGCAACAACAATATCGGGTTTATTGTCGCTATTCACATCGACGACTGCTACTACCTCTGGACCAGTATCAACTGGGTAATTAGTTTGATTATTAAAGGTACCATTGCCTGCATTGAGAAGAACGCTGATGGTGTTCGAACTAAAGCATGTAACAATAATATCGGATTTATTGTCGCTATTCACATCGACGACTGCTACTGAATATGGTTCAGTACCAACTGTGTAAGTAGTTTGATTATAAAAGGTACCACTGCCTGTGTTGAGAAGAACACCGACGTTGTTCGAACCACTGTTTGCAACAACAATATCAGGTTTATTGTCGCTATTCACATCGACGATGGCTACTGAAGATGGACTAGTACCAACTGC